GTTGTGGTATATTTATACAATGGAATACTACCCAGCCATAATAAAGAATAAAATCATGCCATTTGCAGCAACATGGATGGACCTAGAAATTGTCATTCTAAGTGAAGTAAGCCAGAAAGAGAAATAAAAATGCTATAAGATATCACTTATATGTGGAATCTTAAAAAAAAAAAAAGGACACTATGAACTCATCTACAAAATAGAAACAGACTCGCAGACATAGGAAACAATCTTATGGTTACCAGGGAAAGGGGGTGGGAAGGGATAAATTTGGGAGTTTGAGATTTACAAATGTTACCACTATATATAAAAATAGATTTTAAAAAAGTTTCTTCTATATAGCACAGGAAACTGTTCAATATCTTGTAATAACCTTTAATGAAAAAAACATGAAAATGAATATATGTATATATATGCATGACTGGGACATTGTGCTGTACACCAGAAATCAACACATTGTAATTGACTGTACTTCAATTGAAAGAAAGAAAGAAAGAAAGAAAGAAAGAAAGAAAGAAAGAAAGAAGGGAAGGAAGGAAAGAAAGGAAAGAAAAGAAAGAAAAGGAAGAAAGGAAGAAAGAAAGAAAAGGGCATCGATCCTTCTTTCCTTGGACATTCCAGCAAACAGAGCCAAAGACTGACATGGTGAATATTGGACTGAATTTACACCCAAGGAGGACAACTAAGGGAAGAACAGAAGAGAAGAATGTGTCTTTCTGAAAGGCTGATGGTCTTTTCCATGGAACTCAGGGAAGTTTTTTTTTTTTTTTTTTGGATGGACCAGCCCTAGATGTGCTGTGAGATAAAAACACAAACATGGAGAAGGATACATGTAAGAATGGGACACCGTGATGGCTTTGTGACATGTCAGCTTGGCCAAGCTGAACTATACTTCCCTGGGATGCTTCTGATCAGGGTGGGCTCCAAGGGAGATTCCTCCAGAAGAACTTGAGTGTCGAAGGTGGTGAGCAGCCATTTTGTAATGCACCCCCCCCCCGTTATTTAATCAAACACTG